GAGCTTAAACTGACCACTTACTTGCATCCATTGTCATGTTTAGACCCATGTACACATTCCTGACATTGTGTTATTTATTTTATTTATTTATTTACAAGTTCGAAGAATCCAATAGTGGATATAGAACACGTCACAAACTCAAGTATAAAAACATAAAATACATACATTAAAAAATTACATCTAGACAAGCAGCGTACTAAATTCAAGACAATATAATTAGTATTTTTATTACAATAGTTATCCAATTAAGTACTCATCCACAGTGTAAAACGAGTGAGTAATTAAGAAATGCCTTAATGCAACCTTAAACTTTTTAAAATTATTTGAGGTATTCTTAACCTCTGTGGGTAATTTATTAAATATCTTTATACCCGCATAGTGAACTCCTTTCTGATAAATAGTTAAATTGGCTTGAGGTAGATACACATTTTCTCTCTGTCTAGTATCAATAGTATGAGAGTCAATGTTTGATGGAAAAAGAGTTTTGTTTTGTAATACAAACAATAATAAAGAAAATATATATTGTGATGCCAACGGTAAGATATCTAATTCTTTGAATATATTTCTACACGATACTCTATTGCTACATCCCATCATTGTTCTAATTGCCTTTTTCTGAAGGAGAAAAATAGTGTAACTACTAGATGAATTTCCCCAGAAAATGATGCCATAGCTCATTAAGGAATGAAAGAAAGCATAATAAATTGTCTTTAGTACTGAAATAGACATATATGGTTTCATATTTCTAATTACATAGCAAGCCTTGCTCAATTTTTTAATAAGTAGATCAATATGATTCTTCCAAGTTAATGCACCATCAATCATAATTCCCAAGAATTTAGTACAGAAGATATTATTAATGAATTTATTATTATAACTTATTGTAACAGTATCTGACATTTTTCTCTTAATTTTAAAATTAATATAATGTGTCTTATTAAAGTTTAGTGATAATCTGTTCATTCTAAACCATCTATTTATATTTTCAAATGTTGCATGAATGTGTTTATTAAAGTCGTTTGTATTAGAATGAGAAAATAAGATGCTAGTATCATCAGCAAAAATTATAGGTGTAGCAAATTTAGTTATTATACTGGGTAAATCATTTATGTATAAAAGAAACAACAAAGGTCCCAATATAGACCCTTGTGGAACTCCATATCTAACTTTAAGCCAATCCGAGGCTGTATTGTTACTGTCATTAGTATGTAATACTGTTCTAATGTATCTGTTATTTAAGTAAGATTCATAAAGTGCGTGATCTTTCCCATTGATACCATAAAATTTAAGCTTAAATAACAAAATTTCATGATCAACACAATCAAAAGCTTTTTCCAAATCACAGAAGATGCCTCCCACTATTTGTTTGTTATTCATGGCATTTAAAATCTCTGTAGTCAATTTATAGATTGCATTATCTGTTTTTAATCCTTTCCTAAATCCATATTGTTCAGTACTTAAAATATTGTATTTATTGAGATGATCCAAAATTCTTGAGTACATTATAGTTTCAAATATTTTTGAAAAAGATGTTAAAAGTGATATAGGTCTATAATTAGACACATCACATATATCACCATTCTTATATAATGGTTTTATTAATGCATATTTTAATCTATCCGGAAATACTCCTCTCCTTAACATTTTATTGCATATATAATTTATAGGTGAACTTATAAACTTATTTTTAAAATCATAGGTGGTATCTCATCATATCCATGCGATTTTTTTAGTTTAAGGGATTTTATTATTTTTTTTATTTCTTTGTTCGTACAGCATTTGGAATTCATATTTGGGTATGGATTAGAAAAAGCTTGGTTCATGAAATGAATATAATTTTCATCATCATTAATATCATTTGCAATTACGGGATTATTAATATCTTGTAGTTTTATTTTCTCTGCAATGTTAACAAAATAATTATTAAATT